TTAGCAGTTGGTGACTCCTGTTGTTGTTTTCCTATCTTAACCTGTAGAGAATAGTGTAAACTCATGGAAGGAGCTGCAGGCTGATTAAGACACTGTCAGCTTGATCTGAATACTGTTGCCATTGCCGCTACCATTCATACTTGAGCTAACAGGATTTTAAAGCTGTAGGCAGCAAACGGGATTTATAAACTCCTCCAGAGGCCTGAGAGGAAGGATGGGTAACAGCACTACCTACCATCACTTGACATGGGTAACCTGCTGGACACGGAAACAGGATTTAGAGTCTGAGCTCTGTTTCCAACTGCTAACACTTTGGGATATGGTTCAAATCCAGTATTTCTGTCTCACCTCCAGAGGCCTGAGCTTTATTTTGAAAGGCGATGGAAACTGGATACAGTGGCTACGTGTATAGAAAGGAAATAGGGGCAGGTGTCGGCCATTCGGCCCCTTGATCTACCTCTGCCACTTAATAACATCAAGACTGATCTGATTGCAGATTTAATTCCACTTATTCCCTGTAGCCCCTAACTCCACTGTCAATCCAAAATCTGTCTACTTCAGCCTTGAATATATTCAAAAACACTGCACTCGGAGAGAGAATTCCAAAGATTAACAACCCTCAGGAAAAAAAGTTTTATCCTTATCTCTGTCTTAAATGGGAAGCCATTTAGTTTTAAATTGTGCTTTATTGTTGCAGTGTTTCCGCAGGGGTAATCAATTTCCCACCATCTACCCTGTCAACTTCTCTCAAAGTCTTATGATTCAATCAAATCACTTCTAAACTTCAATGGGTACAAGCCCAGCTTTTCCTCACAAGGCAACTCGTACATCACAGAAATCAGCCAAGTGAACCTTCCCCAAATAGCCTCTGAAGCAGCTACATGCCCATTATATAAGGAGATTAAAACTGCACACCTCAGTCTATATGTGATCTCACCAACATCCTGGACAGTGTCTAATTCTGTGTCACAACCCCACAGGCCATGAATTAGATATGACCACTGCAATTTTGAAAGCTTCTACCAATCCAGTAGCAGAGTGTGGGCTTGCCATCCAGTTAGAGATGGCGCAGATGGAGTCTTTGTGTTGAAGGACTGATGAGAGGGATTCCAGCATTCACTGAACAACAGCTGTAAAGACCCAGGTGGAAGCTGCCCATGTGAGGGAGAAAAGCAGGCAGGTTCTTTTTGTTTGCTTTTAAATGCCACAGATTCCTGGCCGTGAGGATCAACCACATCCAGGGAATGGGCCAGGGGCACCGAGTGCTGAGCTCTGGCCACAGCAGCCATTTTGGATGGTGTGATCTATTGTATGACCCACTTCCGACTCTGAGGCAATCACATTGGCCAGTCTGCCGTGCCAGTCAGTGTGAGAACAGTGGCAATTAGATGACTGTCACTTACTGGCTTAGAACTGTTTCAATTCCTCTTAAAAAATGGCTCAGGGTGAGAGCAGAGGGGAAATGGCACAGATGCCAGTGACATCACATTCTGGGCCCATACACCTTACACCCAGATCCTGATCCCTTTTAGAAATTCAGCACAACCACTTCTACCTCATTGTCATTTGGTTTAGAGCCATACAAATAAGGAACAGGCCATATGGCCCTGCCCCTGCCAAACCTCCTCTGCCATTCAATAAGATCATAGCTGAGCTGATTGCAAATTCAACACCACATTCTCGTCCACCAGCCTTTCACTCCCTTTCTTATCAAATATCTAACTGCCTTTGGCTTCAACTGTTCAAAAACTCTGCTTCCACCACCTTTTGAGGCAGAACTCCAAAGACTCAGTCTTCTGTGAGAAAATATTTTTTCTTATCTCTATCTTAAGTGGGTGACTGATTATTTTTAAATTCTTCCAAACTCTCCCACAAAAGGAAAGCAATTGCCATTTCTAATGTACCTGGTTAAGTGGCAGCAGTCTTGTCATTGCCCTGCATGTTCCATTTAATTTGCCCAGCCATATCAGAGAGAGGGCATCTGACACCCTGCTTTGCCAATGGGGCCCTGCTCCCCAGAAGATGCATGCTGCCTGAGGTGTTAGTGATGGATGGAGATCTGGAGAAACAAGTATCAAGCTGGAATTATTAGGTTACAACTTTGGCTTTCATGTCGGAGATTATTGCCTTCCAGTTTCTAATGCAGTGCGTGAGAGATTGGGAAATGACTTAATGAATCAATGTTAAGTAAAGGTGGGGCAGTCTACACATATGCTGGCACTGATATCACACTGTCCGTGGAATGAATCCTGACGCCTGTTGGGTGTAGCTGAACATCACTGCACCCTGTCTGTGCATGTGCTGATCGTCATTTTATCAGCCATTTTGAAATTTTGAGTAATCACCCCATTTTGGTAAATTAAAGCCAACACAACTGTACCATTAGCCACTTCTTTTAAAACTATAGGATGAAATCCATCAGGATCCAAGGACTTGTCAGCTCACAGCTCCAACAATTTGCTCACGACTACTTCTCTGGTGATTGTAATCTTCTTGAATTGCTCCCTCACTTCTATTTCCTGAAATATTAGTAGTCCTGAGATATTTCTTGTATCAACTGCATTGAAGACTGATGAAAAGTACTTTTTCAATTCATCTGCTGTCTCTTTACCTTTTATCATTAATTCTCTAGTCTCAATTTCTGTAGTTCTAGCACTCACTTTGTTAACTTATTTTTCTTTACATGTTTATGTTATGTAAAACTCTAATATCTGGTTATATATTTCTAGTTATCGCATACTTCAAATTTTCCCTCCTTATTAATCTTTTAGTTATTCTTTGCATTTTTAAAATATTTTGTCCAATCTTCTGACCTGCCACATATTTTGCATAACATTCTCCTTTTTCTTTAAATTTGATACTATCTTTAATTTTCTCAGTTAACTACAGATGTTGGATCCTCCGCCTGGAATTTTACTTCTTCATTGGAATGTATCTGTTCTGTGTATTCTGAAATATCTCTTTAAGTCTGCCATTGCATTTTGATTGACCTATCCCCTAACCTAAGTTGCCAGTTTACTTTAACTAGCTCTGCATTTACACTCTTATAATTGTCCTTATTTAAGTTTCGAACATGAGCATTGAATTCTCTCTTCTTCAAATGGAAAGTAAAATTTTATCATATTATGATCACTGCTATCCATGGGAAATGGTGGCTCAGTGCTTAGCACTGCTGCCTCACAACATCAGGGACCCAGATTAAATTTCAGCCTTGGGCGACTGTCTGTGTGGAGTTACACATTCTCCCTATGTCTGTGTGGGTTTCTGCTAGGTGCCCTGGTTTCCTCCAGAGTCCAAAGATATGTAGCTTAGGTGGATTGGCCATGGGAAATGCAGGGATAGGGTACAGGGGGTGAGTCTGGATGGGAAGCTTTTCGGAGAGTCGGCATGGACTTATTGGACCAAATGGCCGGTTTACACACTGGTGGAATTCTATGAATTTGACCATGATGTCATTAATCAATCCTACCTTGTTCCACAATACAAGGTCTACTATAACCTGCTCCCTGGGAATGGAGAGCTTCAGTTATAAGGATGGGCTGGGAGCTTTTTTAACTGGAGTGTAGGATGTTGAGGTGTGATCTTATAGAGGTTTATAAATTAATGAGGGGTATAGAGAAGGTGAATGGAAGGTATCTTTTCCATAGGGTGGGGAATTTCAAGATTAAGGGGCACATTTTTAATGTGAGCAGAGAAAGATTGAAAAAAGACTTGAGGGGCAACTTTTTTACACAGAGAGTGGTTTGTATGTGGAATTAAGTTATGGATACGGGTACTGTTACAACATCTAAAAGACATTTAGATAAGTACACGAATAGGAAATGTTTGGAGGGATATAGGCCAAGTGCAGGCAGATAGGATTAGTTTAGTTTGTGATTATGGATGACATGTATTGGTTGGACCGAACGGTCTGTTTTCATGCTGTGTGGCTATGACTCTATGACTCTAGAGTCTGCTCCCTGCCTGGTTTCAGAACATGCTGTTCTCAGAAACTATCCTGAAAACATTCTTTGAACTCCTCTCCTAGTCTACCTTTGCCCAACTGATTTTCCCACCCCATACGGAGATTGAACTCCAAATTGAGGATCACTGTATCTTCTGACAAGCTCTTTTTTTTAATTGGAACTCAGTCCTACAGTTTGATTACAATCAGAGTTTAATGTCAGTATCATTGTGTGGAACAGGTGAGCAGACTGGTTAGAGCATTCAGTGTGGTCAGGTGCCTTAGTTCATTCACAATGCAGAACATCAGAGGTAAAAATATAAAGAGTTCAAAAGCTCCGTGTGTAATGGGCAATAGATCTTCTGTTAAAGGAACGAGTCATAACAAATAATAATTTATGACTCTAAAATATTCTTTATTTGACAGGCCTTAAGCTGCTGTTAGTAGCAGTCAGTTAAAAACATTCTGGAAAGTCCATTTTATGAGTTAATTCCTGGCAGGGTTTGCATGTAGATTTCTGCACACAAGAA